TTACTTTATGCCTTGTGCTCTAAAACCAGCAGATGTAGAAAGAGAGGAGAGAGATGGGTCAGTTAGTCCAGCTCCTTTATTGATATGTTTTGAGTGTGGGTATACTCCTGTTGGTGTATTCTGTTGTCTAGTAGTGTATCTTCTTGATCAGAAGACAGATCAAGTATTGGAATGGAAGTTAACTGGTAATGATCAATATCGTAACAGGATTACCTTTCAAGTTGGTCAATACTATGATACTGTTACCTTAATCAGTCGTGCTACTTATCTTGAAGTTTGGGTTCAACAACAAATGAGTCCTTCACTAAATGACCTTTGTGATAAGATATTATCATCATTGCACAAAGGACTAGACATAGTCACACGATCACTCCATTACACTTACAAGTCAAAGCATATGTTTGGAGTACCATGTACATGTACTGGAGTACCTCATCCTGCTGTAATAGAGTATTGTTCAGAAGGAGCTAAGTGTACTAATGGTAATGTAATGCAACTTGATGAGAAACATTTGTACTGGTCTAAAAAGGTATTAAATATAAATAATTTATATTATTTTAACTGAATGTTTTATAGGTTGTTGAACTAACAACACTGATCCCACCTCTAGCTAGTAAATGATTCACTTCAATCTTTTGATTTCTTGTAATAATTATTATTTATAGAGTCACTGTCACATGATGATGATGTAGCCACTACAGTTTCTGAAGGCAAAAGGAATGCAGAAAGTTAGTGTACAATTATAAGCTACTATTAATTTGACTCATTCTCCTATAGACATCTTTCGTCATCATTCATTTAATATTTCCAAGTCAATTGCTAACAACATAACTCGTGTTATTGATCAATTGTGGGCATCCGAACTAATAAGTGGTAATATAAAAGATAGCCTCTCCACTGTACTTGGAATAGACAACTACAACAAAGCCAGCAGGGTTATGGGTAACATTAATAATATTCTCCAGACCCATCAAAATCCCACTGAGTATCTTACTGAAGTGTGTCATGCATTGTTCCTTATAGACAATGAACCACTCAAGCTCATTCTTATTAATATATTAAAGGAGTTAGGAAAACTACCACCTCAAGGTAAAAAATTAATTAAACCTATTGTATACACATTACATAATACTACAGACAGCAGACAGGATAGTAGTAAAAGCTCCTCTTTACATAAAAGACCAATAGCAGCACAAGGTACATGCACAATCACTTATTAATTATTATTGCATATCTATAGAAGACATGTCTGCCAGCAAGAGGTTTCAGATAGACTCTGAAGATCCTTATGACAGCAGTAGAAATACTTCTGATGATGGACAGTTCTCTGGTAGTGGCATTTTACAAAATGAAAACAGGGGACAAAAGAGACAGAGAGAAGAAGGTAGTTCTCCTGGAGATTTTACTACAATAAAAAAGTCAACAGCTCAAACCCCAGAAGTCATCAGTTTGTTGTCTGATGATGATGATGTCCTAATACTTGATCCTCCTCCTCCTTCAGATAAAGGATATGGTAAAAGATCAACTGGAAATAAACCACACAGAAGAAAAACTGGCTCCAACAAATAATGTAAGCAAAAAACATTTACATCAGCTTTAATTCCACTTGTAGGTACTGAATGTTAACCCTCTTGTCACTTATTTTACTTATTTTTTATACACAATCACTTAACATTCATTTTTTGTTTATAAATGATAAAACCATACAAATTTGACATTAAAAATATTAAATAGAAATCATTATAATTATAATAGTCATTTTACAAATCATTTCTTGAAGGAGAAACAATCTAAAACAAAAAGAAGATAAATATATTATGTCCTCTTGACCATCTCATCATCTCTCTCTCTTCTCAGGATCCATTATCTCTCTCTC